GAGAAGAGAAGAGAAGAGAAGAGAAGAGAAGAGAAGAGAAGAGAAGAAGTGGTAATGGCAGAGAAGAACAGAAAATAAGAAAGAAAGAAAAAAGATAAAAGAACTTAAGTTGACTGAGCAAATGCAAGGTAACCTCTGAGAAACGGACTGTTTCCTTCCCTATCCATACCAACCTGCGTGTCTCAGGTGAATGGCATCACACCTACCCAGCTGGCAGGTGTATGGCTAGCCCTACGGGGGCAGTCGGCAGACAGCATGCTTGTTTGGCCCCCAGAGAATTCAGGCTTCCACCTCCAGATTAATCTGATAAACCCTATGCTTCTCCACTTCCCCTCACATTTGGTTCAGTTTCTTAACATTCATCTACAAGAGCAGTGAGATTAAATCACGTGACTGGGCTCAACTCTGAAGTTCCCACTCAACTAGTCGTGCAGTCTTAGGCGTTGCTGAATGTCTCTGTGGTACGGCTCCCAAAGACGATGTTTGAATGCTTGGTCATTAGGGAATGGCACTACTTGACAGGGGTCAGGAAGTGTGGCCTTGCTGGAGGAAGTGTGGGCTTTAAACGCTCAAGTGTGCCTGCCACTCCTGATGTCCAACTCTCAGCTTCCTCTCCAGCACCATGTCTGCCTGTGTGCTGCCATGCTTCCTGCCCTGATGGCCAAGGACTAAACCTCTGAATGTAAGCCAGCACCAATCCAATGATTTCTTTTTTTAATTGCTGTGGTCATGGTGTCTCTTCACAGCAACAGAATACTGGCTCAAGACTCTCTGTGCCTCAATTTCCTTATCTGTAAAATGCATATGATAAAAGTAGCACTTCTCAGATTTGTTATCAAAACTAAAAGTTCATGAAAAAACTGACAAGGGAAGTCTGTTAACATTCAGAGCTAACCTGGCTGTGGGATGCCCTCGGCTGACAGAGGGCAGGCTAATATCCATGGGACTCTTGGCCCAATACTCAGCACCCAAATAAGAACCAAGAAATCTCTTCAAGACGCTAAGAAAAAGTGGATTTAAAAGCACATCTGAGTCTCACTACTGGTCTTATATGCAACTTTGGCTTTAGTGTTTTCAAAGTTTGACCTTATACCACAAGAATGACAGGACAAAATTTGCACTAGTAATACTACTAGTATTACTCTCGCTCAGGTAGCACGATGCTCTTTCTACTTGCCTTTCTATCTACACTGACACTCTTAGCCACAGTGGCCACCACTCACAAGCACAGGACCGGTCCACTCCAGCAAGCACTTCCAGGGCCTGCTATGCTCAGACAGCTGTGTCCCTGGCACTGCTCCCCAGAAGCTGCCACCCACCCAGCACTGCTTGGCCTCACACTGTCTCCGCACACGTCAACATCTGAGTGTTATGGAACCACTAGGGGAGCGCTGTCTTGCTGTTGGGAGGCCCTTCTTGTTCCCAAACTAGTTTTTCGTGTGGTATTCTGTCTATAAACACACCACATTAATCACTGAGACATGGCTGTCCCGAAATGACCTCTGTGCCCCTGAGAATTAAGAGAGTGTTTGGAAAAAAGCCCAATAAAAGGAAATCAAGGAAAAGATGGGGCCATACCGTGGTCAAAACCTGATTCTATACTCGGTGCTCTGCCGGCGCCTTTCATAGTCCTCAGTATTGGGGAAAACATGCTTGAAAAAGATGAATTACAGACATGGCTTACTGCCCCAGCTCTAATCAGAAGTCTTGATGCTCAACCAAATTAGCAAATAAATGAATTAGTAATCTTTCTCATCCTTTCAAAATTTATTGTTAGTTTTCACTCTGTGTGTGGCACGTGTCTGTGCATGTGTGTGTGAGTTCAGGCCAACAGCGGCAGATGCACTGAGAGCAAGAGTTACGAGCTTGGGAGCCGTCTAATGTGGTGACTGGGAGCCGCACTCACGTCCTCTGGAAGGGCAGTGCACACTCCTAACTGCTCACTTTTCTCTCAAGACCCCACTTGCCCGCCTTTTAAGAAGGTGTGTGTCTGTGAGAGTACGCCCACGTGTGCATACACAGAAGTAGAAGAGGCTCGTGTTCTTTGGAGCTGGAACCATAGGCACTTCTGAGCTGCACAATACTGGGGCTAGGAGCCAAAATCTGGACTTCGTGACTGAGCAGCAAGAACTTATATTTAACTGATCCACTTAAATGCTTTGTATTAAATGCTTTGTATTAAAGTGTTTACAGTTGATTTTAATCCAGTTTTACCTGACTCTTCAAATTAACAGAACCATTGCAAGATGTATTTTCATCAGGGAGAGCATATCAAAATTTCCAAATGAATTCAAACTAAACCTAACATTTTAGAAAACACAGAATGCTTAGTGAAGCTACACAAAAAGTAAGCAGCAAAAAGGAATCTGAGCCTTCTCAAGAAGTCCGCTCCCACCATAGCACCATGCGGTGCCCCTGCTCCAGGCTTAGCCCACCTCCTACCTGGCACCATGTGTGCCCCTGGTCAGACACAGCTCAGCTCTTACAATATCACCATGTGGTGCCCCTGCTCCAGGCTCAGCTCAGCTCTTACCTGGCACAGTGTGGGCCCCTGGTTTAGGCACCACCTGGTCCAGACACAGCTCAGCTCTGACCTGGCACTATGGTGCATTAACCTGTACAGGTCTATGAAAGCATGAGCTAAGAAAATAAACTCAACGTTAAAGAACAGAAAGAACACAAGAGAATGTGTGGTACTTTTAGCACGGAAGTCAGTGTCCACATACCTGTTTTTGATGTGGTAATATATCGCAAGAGCTACACTGTAAAATAAAACAGAGGAGTTCAGTGGTCTGTAAACACATCCACCACTTCCTGGACTAAGAATCATCAGGAAGCGATCCCCAAACTGAATTCAAAGTCACACCGTCCACCTGAGAAGTCCCATGTCACCCAGAGTGCTGATTGGATCACACTCCACACTAGGTCACCCTGGTGGTCACGCCCACAAATTTTAAGATTTTTTTTTTTTTTTTTTTTTTTGGGAAGCACTAGAGTAGCAGAGGGAATTCACAGCGTTCCTCTCAAATGGTAAGCTCCCCCACTTTAAAAATGCAAGCACTACACAAAAATGCTACAAATGAATCTCCAGTTCACTTGGTCAGAAAATTACTAGTTTTTTTTTTTCCTAACTACCAGAAAGAAAAACGAGTAACACAAATAGGAGCTGCTATTCCTCTCACACACAGTTTTAGCAAGCTGTGCAGCACAGCCATCCACCTCCCAAAATGGTGCCATGACTTACCTGATGCACTGTTTACAAACTGTCAAAACTTTTCAAATATCTGAATGCAATGAACATCCTTCCTCAATTTTTCTTTGCTAATGTAAAATACAATACATACACCCCAGAAACTGTGGAAAACTTAAATAGCATGAACAAGAACCTGAGCTAAGATATGGTTCAGTGGCACAGTGCTTGCCCTGTGTCTGATTCCCAGTACTAGGGGAAAACAACTTTAAAATGAAATCACCTTTTAGCCAAGAATGGGGATGAACACTTGTAATCCCACCCCAGGTACACAGAAAGGCTATCTCACAAAACAACCTCTGTGTCCCAAATAACTACCATCAGTTTGAGACACACAGTTATTCTTTCTACTTAGCTGTGTGTGGACACAGAGGCTGGTATCCTATGCTTGGATAGCCATGTTACTGCTTTGTGTGATATTAGGAAAGAGTTCTAGGAAACAGGATTTTAAAAGTTGCTAGCTATATATTTCATAATTTGATTGTGGAATAGCTAATCATTCTCTGTGAAGTATGTAAATTGTATGTAATGTTTAGTAATTAATTCACACCACAATAAACAGGCTCACAAATATCTGTGCAATCTATGGTTATATTATTTCTATAGGACGCATCCTATAATGGAATTAGTTGGGAGCAAGGGGGTCCCAGGACCCGCACACAGCAAGTGTGTCTGCAGGATGAAGACCAACGTATCCCCACCAGAACCCCCTTCAATACTTTGATAGAACATTTTCCTTCTGAATAGAAAATAGCAGAATTTTGATCATGATCAAGTTGACGGGCTACCTTTAAATTTTTTCAATTGTCTAAAATTCTTTTTACTCCCTTTGTCTTACTTTAAAATGCAGAAAAATGCCTCCAAAGTATTTTCTTTGCCTCTAAAAACACAGATCATTGGTAGGATTGCAATGTGTTCTGGTTTACAGAGAATAAGCAGACCTTCAGGAACCACCAGAGGTAAAGATGACAGGAGGAGCAACGAGAGACCTAAGCCAGCTCTGAGAGCAGCAAGAAGCTTGGGTGTTGCTGTGCCTGAGCCAGAACAGACTCTGGCATAAGCCTATGTTATTCCCCTCATCTCCTCCCAGACCCAGTGCATTCATGAGCTCAGCTAGCTGTGAGGCTAAGGACCAAGGGGGCGGTCCTAAAATCACTAAGGGTCTGAGCTGATAAGGGGTCCTATGACTATGGTAAAACGGCTTCAGAGTTCAGGTGATGATGTTTTCAGGGTTTCTTCCCACAGTCACAGCCCTGTCACAGACTCTCTGCTCTAAATGAGATATGTGAGGTCGCACAGTTGACCAGGGTTTCTGACCCGTACAAGCGTCGTGCCCTTTCTTCTGGGGCCCGTCCTTAGAGAAAAGTAACCACTGGCTACTTATCAAGTAGTTACCATGTGGTAATGTTCACCACGAGAGGGTTTGGTGCAATTCAGCTAAGAACCTGGACCCCATGCTTCTCATGAGGGCACATGGACTAAAGACACAGGTCAAATAAAAGAGATGTGTAATGCTAGACCATACCCACCTCTCAGCCAGAGCTAGCCGAGGAGAGCAGACCTGACCATCAATCGAGAGCTGTCCTGGGTGACCACGGAGGTGAGGCGTGAGCAGTGGGGACATGCGTCCCCAGGTTCCCTCTGCTCCTCGCATTAGCCTTCATGTGTGACTATTCTAAGATTTAGCGCGGGGAGCTGGCTGTGGGTGTGGAACTGGGAACTCTAGCTCCATACCAGATTTGGCATTTAAAGCCGCAATAGAGACTCCAAGTTTTCAAAGTAAGGGCTAGATTCACTGACATACAAGGTGACCTGTCAGCAGCACCCTAACTCTCTAGCCTCTCCCCCACCCTTCTGGTTCTCCCACTGTTAGACTCATCCCCCAGACCCTAGTCATCCTGTCTCCAGAACAACTTGCAAACTCTCTTGTCAACGTGAACAACCCCCAATTTACAGGGGTGTAGTCACAGCAAATTAGCTTATGAAGCAGTGGTTTAGAACTCATGGGTACTCTCTCACAGAAACAGCAGCTGGCTTAGGAAATACATGTTTTGCTACAAATATTAAGAATGTCCACAAGAAAGCTCAGCTGGTCTTAACGGTTAATGAGCTTAACATGGATGAGGTAAGAGGAAGAATGAGAAAGGGGACTGAATAGGGTGCTCCTTTTTGGTGGTGAGGATGGTCTGCCTACCCCGCTGCTCCTCCTGTCCCTTCTGAGTGTGGAGAGCTCCTCAGGCAAACGACTACACTAGCTTTGAGTACTCTACCCCTTGATCATATAAACAAGTGAGAGACGCTGAGTCCAACCTAGTCCCCCCAGCGTTTCAAATGAGGACAACTTTTAGAGCAACTGAACCACAGAAGTAATTTCAAGTTTAGATGGTGCAGAGAAAATGTCTACCCTATGGTGATGCTGGTGAGGGGAAAAGGACGGCCATCCCTTAAATATGGCGTCCTCGCCCTTGGCTATCTACAAGAACCTCCCAGAAATGGCTTCAGGCTTCAGTTTTGTAAGCCAGGCCCCAGACAGCTGCATGCAGAACATATGTTTCACAACATAAAGCTTCCAGGTGACTCCCAGTGGGGATTTACGTGAGCCCACAACCATGAACAGGTATTTCCACTCTCACACATGTCACCTGGTGTCTTCATCAGGCTCCTAGTGTCAGTGTCATAACCAGCCGTGACAGTAGGTGGAGAACCAGGCCAGATCTCTCTAGGAATCTGAAGACTCCTGCTACGCTGCACACACTCTACCCTCATCTCCCATCTCTGCCTTGTCACTGGGAAGAAGATCTAGATGCCTCCACTCCAGGCTCTTCAGAGCTTGAGCAGCTGTCAAGAACCATGGGCACAAAGCTCTCCAGGCCTCTCTGCTTTGTTCCACCAATCCTACGCACTTCTACTGTCCACTCTCTGGCAGTCAGCTCCACCCTGAGAAGTGAACGAGTTAGGTGAGGTCAAGTGGATAATTATACTCTGTGCTCTGTGGGATACATCTCTTATCAGTCTCCCTGGTCACCTGGGTTCGTGCTGACTGGCTCTCACCACATGCTGGGGCAATTCGGGAAAGAAACCCTATGTGACAAAGCAGATACCTAAGTGACTGCCACTTCCACTTTCAGGACTACAACACTGACCATGAAAGCTAGCTACAATCCTGGAAGCTTGGACTGAGGAAGTGATCATCACACAAAATGCTAAATGGTGCCTCCAACTCAGAAATCTTAGCCCATGAAAATAGAACTTTATAGGTAGTAATTTTAGCACTTCATGCACTTATATGGGTTGTTTTTAGATGTATGCTTTCTTAAGCAAGGAGAGATAAATGTCCCAGATTTTCAGTCAAGCTGTTGAATTCAGGCTGTCTAATATAAAACTTCCTGAGACCTCTGCCAGGGATGGCTGATGTCACTGTGCTGACAGGGACAAGACAGTATCAGGAGAACCAGTGTTCTTTGCCTCGAGTGAGAAAAGCAATTGCACAGTAATGGGGGGGTGGGGGTGGCCCAAAGCCTCCCTTTTCTTCCCACTAAGTCCATTTTAAGTACACATGTAGACGGAGCCTGCCAAAGTCCCTCAGCTGCGAAGAGGATCATGGTTAGACCATCCCATCCAGGCATTAGCTGAAGTCCCCATGTGGGATGGAGGGAAAGGCCTTATTTCATTTAAAAGTCAATATACCGTTGGCACTTTGCAGGGATGGCTTCAGTCAAGACCGAAAGGTCGAAACTGCACACAATACACACAAAGTAGTCACATTTTTAGGCCATCCGTCTTTAAAATAAGGTGAGTGCTAGCCTCTCTATTTAAGTGGAAACATGCACAGACATCCCCACATCTTGGCTACCCTAGCCACTTTCCAAGAGGAATCCCCAAGAGGCAGGGGGCCCCATGTTATCACTCCCCCAGGTCCTACGAAGAGCTGGGGGTGAGGTAAAGAAGTCTGCACACCCTCAAGTCTGGAGGGATGGCTCAGAGGTTAAAAGCACAGCCCACTCTTGTAGAGGACCCAGGGTTCAATTCCAGCACCACACACAGCAGCCCACAACACTCTAACTCCAGCCCCAGGAAGTCTGAGGCCCTCTTCTGGCCTTCGAGGGCACTGTATTCACACGGTGCACAAACACTCACGAGGGCAAAACACCCACACACATAAAACAAAAATAACTTTAAGAAGTATCTTTCCTGACACAGCACCCTATGTTTTAAATCCCAGAACTTAGGAGGCAGAGAAAGGAAGATCTCCTTGAGTTCAAGGCCAGCCTAACTACATAGAAGTTCCAGGACAGCCAAGACTTGAGAGACCCTGTCTCCAAACAACACAAAAACAGACAAAAAGCCAAACAACCCCCCAACTCAAAAACAAACAAAGAAGACATCTGCATACCCACCATTTGATGGTGTACTTGAGGTTTGGCTGACTGACTGTGCTGTCGTCTAAGAAGATGGTGGAGCAGGAGCTGTACTTCCTTGAGGTCTGGCCTGGGTGATGCTGGAAAACAAGATGACAACACTTAAAAAGACTCACGCTCTGCCAAGCATCGTATGCCAGCTAGTTTTTGACAACTTGACACAAGTTGGAGCCACTTGGATGGCAGGAACCTCACTTGAGGAAATACCTCCACCAGAGTGCTTTGTCGGAATGTCTTTGGGTATTCTCTTGGTTGGTGTGGGCTTTGCTGCCCTTGGGCTGAGAGCTATAAGAAAGCACACCTAGCAAGCCACCAGGAGCAGCATTCCTGTAAGTCTGTGAGCAGCAGTCCCCCATGGCCTCTCATTCCTGCCCTGAATTCCCTACAGGATGGACTATGACTGAGACATTTAGAGTGAAATAAACCCCTTTCCTCCCAAGTTACTTTTGGTCAGGTATTTTATCACAAAAAACCCTAAGACACAACACTACTCCTTTAACTGAGATCAGACCACAAAACAAGAAAGAAACAAACAAAAGCATGCCTTAGCAAGAGCTCTACCACAACTGCTAACAGAGCAGACACTGGACCACACTGGGAGGTGTCTCGTTCTTCCATGCTAAGTTACCACCACTCCTAGCCCCCACCTTCCACAGGAAGCCTGCAGCATGCAGGGGACAGCTGGTGAACACGTGGGGAAGATGGCATCTTACTTTTATGCACCACGATCAAGTTGAGATCCACTATACCCATTTCCCTAGACAGCCCAGACCAACTAAACCTCTGGCTCATATGCATAAATTCACATCAAGTGGATGTGTTTCTGTCAGACACACTGTACTCCAAAGAGGAAGACTGGGCTCTTGCAGGGATGACCTAATGATTGTGGTTTTAGTGACTGTGCAAGTTTAAGTTCTGTGGAGAACCTGAGCAAGGAAACAGCTTCTGAGAGGCAACACAAACTTTACAGCTGAGGACAGCCGAAGAGCTAAAGAGGAATTTATCAGATGTTTGGAAAACAGGGTTAGTAGACTTCCATTTGGATAATTCTGGGTTAGAAAGAAAAGAAAAAAAAACTCAAACCACGTAAATAAGGTTCCTTATTGCCTGACATCATTTTGACAGGCAGGTGTCACTTCCAACAACCAAAACCAAACCCCATACCGCACAGAACCGCCTGCCTGACCTGTCTCCCTTCAGCAAAGCCCCTGGGCTACAAAGTAGCACCTGAACCAAGGGTGGGATGTCTGCCAGCCTGTGCACATCTGCTCCCATCCGTAGGGCCCCTCAGCAGTCAGACTATAAAAATATGCAGCACCCTGAGTACCGCACAAAAAATGCTAACCCGACACATTTCTCGAGAGTACCTACTACTTAGTATCTTGGGTGTCGGCGTCCTTAAAATCGCACTAGAAGCCCCACTAGTGGCAGCACTATGGAACATGTTTGCAAGCAGCTGCAGGTCAGAAGCACCAGCCTAGGGGCAGTGCTCAGGACCTCCACGGAAGCTCGCCACAAGGTGTGGGAAAGCACATGAGAATACTGTGAAGTTCATTTAGGATGGAAGTGTTACACTCACCACAGCATTTAAGGTTGGTCAAATAATCACCATTCTCCGTAAGGTGTCTTGGGCTGATATTAAAAGAAATTCTCTTGTAGTAATAAACTGAAGTCATACGATACTAAGAAATACAAGAAATGAAAAGCCATCCTGCTGACATTTCCAGGCCGCTCGTGCATCAACAGACTCTGACATGGACTGAGCAATCAGTTACCATGCTAACAAATATTTTACAGACAGGTTATCACGTTAGTAATTCAAACAAACGTTTGCCCACAAACGTCCAGTCTGGGGGCAAGAACATACACTATGTATGCAGAGTGATGGGTCAAAGGTCAGTCTCTCACAAAGGTCTCAGGCCTGGCCTGGGTGGCATAGCGTTGAGTCACTGCATCCCAGGATTTAGGGGCGAAATCCCTTCTAAGGTGACAACTCCATTCCCAGAACAATAATTTCTGTGACTAGTGCCATGCCTCACATTTCCGCTTCAGAGTGGCTCATCACTGGAGGTGCCACTGCTGAAACCCGGAAGTGCAAGCATCTGTGATCTAAAACCTTATGCCACGAGATATGGAAAGCAGAAACCTAACAGGAGAGCCTGTGCCAGGGATTGTGTCCTGAGCTATACCTTTCAGGGCACAGCAGGGGGTGGAAACACCAGACCAACATCACACCCTAGTGCCACAGCACAGCTAACTTTAACTTCCTACTGTCTCTGATGGCACCAAAGCACTAGTTGTGTCCACAGGAGTCACACAACACTCACACAGGCTTCATCTCCATGTTAGATGCTATTCAGTGTGTTAGATAGTTGTGCACTTCAGCCATGCTTTACCATTGTCCCCTGATCCTGAAAACAGAACAGTCCACGTGTGACACGGCCTCTCCCTGCAAGGCTCCAATCTCCGGTCAAAAGATGGCAGAGCGGACACTGGCTACAAACCACAACAATAACAGGCACAGCAAGACACACTCAAGGGTGCGACTTTGCCACTTCTATCTCCACGGTAACCAACAGCTACCTAACTGGACTCACGGCCCATCCCCAAGGAGGGAATTCATCCCAGGAACACAGCCTAGCCAACTGCCTGGCTGGGAGGCACCGAACCCCAACCACCACAGTTCCTACATCCGGTCTGTTCATCCTTACATCCAGAGATAAGTATCACTCTTGGTGATCATCAAAGGAACTTCCTTTTGCAGCAGACGGGCCCAGACAGAAATTCTCACCTGGTCCCCACTGAGATGTGTGGTGCCCAGCCCCAGATACATCTGCAGCACAGTCCCCACACCCAAGGCTCAGGAGACAGCGTGGAAGACGTTCTGGGCAGAATGACTGCACAAGCCAGAGGACCAAGAGATCTGCTGAGAGCCGGTGCCGTCTCCAATGACACAGAGTGCACCATGGACTCCGAGCAACATGGCTGCCTAAGCAAGACTTGAACAATGACGTAACTAGCTGATAACTCAAAGCAGAAAAGGAGGATCTCACAAGGTCCTGCCCTACATGAGAAGTCACAAGCAATTAATGGCTGCTCAGTGAAGAAGTTCCATGACAGGTTACCTAACCCCACGTAATCATCCCTAAACATACCAACAGACATATGAGCAACACTAACTGGACTCAGCAGGTTGTATTTATAAATAAGTGTATGTTTCTCTCTGTGTCTCTCTTTTCTTTCTCTCTCCCTCTCTCTCTCTCTCTGTGCACACACACTTAAGACAGAGAGACAGAATCAAGATGAAAAAGGTCAAGAAGTTAAGAAGGAATAGTTGGAGGAAAAAGAGTAAAAGGTGGAAATGATGTAAATATGTAACCGTGTATAAAAATCTCAAGAAAGAGTAATAAAATAAATGTTAAAGAAGACAGACAACAGAAGAACTCAGAAACTACAACGTGCGTTTGCATGTGCCTCAGATTACGGCCTTCCTGCCAGCCCCCTCTGCCTCCCTTGCTTAGCTGCATTTACCTCAGGAGCAGTGGGAACAGCAGAGCTGGCCTTCCACGGTCCCTGAGAGGAATGTGTGAGTTAATTTGTGTTGGAGACCGGAGTGTGGAAGGCCCTGCTCCTGTGCACAGTACAGCTTCGTCTTCAACGTGGGATGTCTGCAACATTCTAGATAACAAAGAAAGTGACCGAGACCCTGCTTCATTTGAAAAAGAGTCTTCATGGTAGACAGTGAAGAATTCTAGTGACGTGTCTCAGTGTCGGAAGGCAACCTCAAGCTGCTGGCAACTGTGCTGAGAAGAGGAGCCTGGGACGGATTACCTCCAATGCAGTAAGAGCACTTGCCTTTCAGACAGTGCGGAGTTTACAAAGTAAATTATGGATATGTTAAACAGGTCTGTGTAGAGCTAATACTCAAACAACTCAATCTTTCTACACAATCCCATGGTACAAAATAATTTACTATTTACACCAAGGTCCACTAAAACATAAAACCATTTGGACTGCACGTAGAAAAGTCTGAATGCTGTTATAACCTTGCATTTTAGATACTGAGGTTATCTGCTTTGCAATCCCAACAATGGTGACAGTCAGATACGAGACACAAGCGTGCCTACACAAGCGCACATACACCGTGCAAACGTGTGGGGCTGGCCTCACTGCGCCCTCCGCAGGGACCCTAGGTAGCTCATCGCTCATCACAGCAGAGGAAGCCATCAGGTAGGTCCTGGTTAGCCTGGGTTCAGGTGGCCACAGTGCACACGCGCACCCTGAAGGCACATTCTTTCCCGGTTTGGGTTGCCTCAGGACGCCTTTCTGCTACTCTTCTCATGGTGACCTCGGTCCTCCCTGTGCTCTGCACACCCTCCTCTCACCTCAGTGACACTATCCATACTATGTCATCACCTGCACTCACTCTGCGGATGGTCTAGGGTCAGGACTCGGGTTTCCTTGAGTCACCAGGTGAGAAGCAGCTCACGTTCTCAGGCTGGCATGCTCAAAGCCCTACCCCCGGGCACAGGAGGTCTGCCTCCCCATGACAAAGGAAGGACCTGTACGAGCCAACTGGGTGAGGGTAATGAGCTGGCACCGCAGACCCCACAGAGAAGCCTAGGACATCCTGAAAGGAAGGACAATGTGTCCAGGAGACTGGCACTGGGACAGGGCTGGCAGACCCACGGTGCCACAGTAACTAGGCTGAGGTGCTCATGCTGGGGAGATGCGGGGGTGGGGGACACTCCAGCAGGGTCAGGACCAGTGCTCATGGGTCAGCTCTCCTCAGAGTGGCTGTGTAAATGACACCTTAGCTCTCCCACTATCCTGGACTGTCTGGAAATGGTACATCTTTTCACACTCAACAACGTCCTGGCTTAGGCCATAGATGGCCACCTTGGTTTCAGTGCCTGTCTACTGCATGACAGACACACCATGACTAAACCTCAGGCTGGGAGGAAAGG